CAGATAGAGTTAATGGTGGTTGTCTTTTCCCTAGGCTGAGGGGTGACATGATTGAGGTACACAAAATTGTGAGGGGTAGATATTGAGTAAACTGGAGGAAGCTGTTTCCTTTGGCAGAGAGTTCAAAAACCAGGGGTCATAGATTCAAGCTAAGTAGCAGAGATTAAATGGGACATGAGGAAAAACGTTTGTATACAGAGAGTGGATGGATATCTGAAATTTTCTGCATGAATTAATGGTTGAGGCAGAAACCCTACTCTCATTTAAAAAGTACCTGTGTCTGCACCTTAGGTGGTGTAAGATGCAGAGCTATGGACCGTGTGCAGGAAGATGGGATTAGAAAGGCCATCTGTGGTTGATATGCACAAGATGAGTTTCTACGGTTTGCTGGGCAGCCTTCACGAAACAGGAGAGAGTGCCATTTAATTCATGAGCCACCTTTAAATGCCAGAAGGCCCGGGAATAATGTGTTTTAAGGTGTTCAGTGATGAGCCTAATTGACATCCTGTCACCAGAGGGCAGAATTCCTGTTCTGATCCCTTTCTTCATTTCCCTTTGAATTGGGATCAATTTTCCTGATGGCAGGAATCAGATATGGATGCTCTCGCCTGAAAATACAAGTGATAGTCACAACAAGGTGCTGAAATGCAGAAAAACCACAAACATGGGAAAACCTCCATTACAGCTGCAAAGTCCAGAAGAACTGCTATTACTGAGAACAAAAATAGCTATTTTCTTTAAAAGTACTGTATTATATTAGGAAGTTATGGCACCGGAAATTGCATTGCCAGGAATATTTAGTTTCAGAAAGGGGCCATTGGATATTGGATATCATGGAGAAAATAATGTACCAGGTATAGAAAAGCTTCCAACTTTGACAAATCGGAACAAGTAAGTATAATTTTGTACACAACTGGAAGATTAACAGATAGTTACAGTAAGCCTAATGGGACTGTTGGTATTTGTACTGACCTTAAACAACTGAACAAGGCAGCAGTGAGAGAAATAGACCCTAAATCCGTGGTTGATGAGTCAAGCTAAATTATCCGAGAGCAGAGTTTTCACAAAACTTGACACAAATAGCAGATTCTGGCAAGTGCCATTGGACGAACAATCGATATTTTCTATCATATTTATCATTCCTTTTGATAGATTTTGTTGAATATATTACCATTTAGAATTGCATTGGGCCCAGAGACTTTCCAACCAAAATTTTCCAGCAATGTCAAGCATCTTACAAGATCTTCACAGAGTCATTTGCGAGAAGGATGATTTATTGATCCATTTGGAAACAGTTGAAGAGTATGATCAAAGAATGCAAGCAGTATTAAAACATTTAGAAAAGGAAGGCCTAACACTTAATGACAAGAGTGAATTCTTCAAAATCCATTCATTACTTGAGACTTACTCTCAACAGTGAAAGCATATGACGGTGGATCCTCAGATGAATAATACCGTGACAGAATTCCCAGCTCAAAAGTCAGTCCAAAATCTTCAAAGCTTCTTGGGTTGATAAATCAGTTGGCACAATAGTTTGCCTAACCTACAGAGCCCTTAAGTCATCTCCTCAAGATGATACAAGTATGGTGTTAGAATCCTCATCAAGAAATGTTATGTCTACAGATGTATTCGCACAATATCTTGTAATAATAGCAGCCAATGCATCAGCTTCTGGCTTAGAAATATTACCAGGATCACCTGGATGGGCATCGCAAACCATTTCAATGTGCGTCAAGACCATTATCTGATACAGCAATGCAATATGTTATGGTTACATCCTTTGTCAGAAAATGACCAAAAGACTATCCTGCATAATGAGGGCCCTGTCAAATTTAAAGTATCGCCCTGTATTTCTAAAGCAGCCCTGATCAGAATCATCTGTCGGAAATACAGAGCTCAAAGCAAAAGAGTGTAAATCTTTATGTGGTTGCCAGTCCCTGGAACAACTGAAACCCAGGATGTCAGTCTTTTGGGCACAGATTTAGATTTAGGCATGTTTGAAGTCTCTATCAAGTCCAAGTTCATGTAATAGAATCATAGAATTTTATAGTACAGAAGGAGGCCATTCAACCCATCCTGTCTGTTCCAGCTGAATATCTGAATATTGTTCCCACATTTGAAGAGCAGTTACTAACACTTCCTTCACCCTCATGAATAAGGTATTATTTTTTTCTGAATGGCCTAAGAAGGAAACGGTCCACCAAAGTCAGAGGGAGCAATTGTTCCAACTAATTAGAATAATAGTTTCCACACATGAAAAAAAGTTATACCTGCGAAGAGTAGAACTTCCATTCCTTTTTGTGTATTTATATTGCTGTTTGATTTGCACATTTATCCAACGTCATATTAATAACTTAAGCTTCTGTGTTAGAAGGGCAGCATATCCAACATCCTATACTGTATAATCTCCAATTTATTTCATTTAAATATTGTAAAGACTTAAACCATCATCTTCAGCATCTATCAAAAAAAATTCTTTTGCCAGCATCTCTACTCCACACTATAGCCACTGTCTTGGGCCAATTTAACTTTCTTTCACGAATTTTCCTCTGCTGTAAGATCCTTTACGCGACACACTACTTCGATTGAGTTTTCGTCAACCTTTGACATAATGCACTTTTAAATTGCACCTATATGAAGTGACCTGTGACTTTTTTTTACTTTAAAGTTGTTATATAAGTGCAAATGGTCATTATTGTTGCTGAATTGATGCGCAGCAATATGGTTCAAGGTTTTTATTTTAAATCCAGATTGCTTCTCTCTTTGAAAACACTGAAATAAACCCTGTTCTGTAAAGAAACACAATGATGCTGTATCAGGAAGAAAATATTTCAGAAAATTATAATTTTGAAACCGTATCTCTGTATAGTTTGTATTATTCATTATTTGGAAAAGATTCAAAAATTATCTTTACAACCTTTCCCAGAGTATCAGTAAACTCCAAACACAGAATCATTGAGGTTTACAGGACCAAAGGAGTCCATCTGGCATATTGTGACTCTTAAGATTATTTTATTGGGGGAGTATTAGTACAGCAATGACAGCAGCAACTTAAATTTGTATAGAATCTTTCAAGTATAAAAATGGGAACTACAAAATCGAGGCATTGTTTAACCAGGAGATAAAGTATGTCTATGATTAAGAAGTATTTAGATGTGCATGTGCAATGCCAAGGCATACAAGGCTATAGGTGAAGTGCTGGAAAATGGGATTACAGTAGTTAGGTGATTGTTTTTGACTGATGCGGACACAATGGTCCTTTTCCTGTGCTGCATATCTCTATGAGCAAGCACAGGATAGGAACATCAAATCCTAGACCTGTTTCACCATTCCATTAGAGCATGGCTGATCGTCTGCCTCAATCTCATTTTCCTGCACTTGGCCGAGCATTACTTGATGTCATTAGTATCCAGAAATGTATTGGTCTCTAACTTGAACATGCACGCCAATTGAGCTCTCACAACCCTCTGAGACAAGGAAATTTCTACTTGTCTGAATCCTAAAATGGCGTACCCATCAATCCCAAGACAATGTCCTTTGGTCTAGATTCAACAGCCTGTGTATCGATACAGTTAGTTCTGCTATAACACGTGTTTCGTTAACATGAATTGACTGTAATGTGATTGATGAATAGTGGAGCTGTTTGGATAATGCAAGCTTTCTGCTGCACAGGTATAGTGATTTTCTATAGCAATTTCCCTAAAATGCAATTTTCTATAGTGCAAGGTCACGCAAGAACATAACGATCGCATTATAGGAAAACTACTTGTTTTCATCCCATCATGCTCTGGAAGAATTTTGTAAGATTCAATGAGATCACCTTCTATTTTTTGAAGCTTTAGGGACCACAGCCAGTTTCCTCCATCTCTTCTCATAAGACAGTGCAACCAGCCCAGCAATTAATGTCACAAGCCTCAATTGTACTTCCTGTGTGGTAAGTATATCCTTTCTCAGATAGGCAGACCAAAACTGCACACAATACTCCAGGCATGCTCTGACCAAGCCTCTTGACAAGTCCGCATAAGATGAAGGCCCACATATCTTCTAATTTCTAATTTACCTTCAAATTGTTTGCTACACTTGCATGCTACCTATTAGTGACTCATGAATAAGAATATCCAATCTCTTTGGACATTAACATATCTCACCTTCTCACCATTTAAGAAATACACTGTCCTCCAGGGTTTGAATATTGCAATACCCCAATAGCAACAACCTGCTATCCTGAGAATGATCCATTTATTTGTACTCTGATTTCTGTCTGTTAACTAATTCCGCAGTAGTGCATTACTCGCAAACCCAGGATCTCTAATTTTATTTACTAATTTTGTGTGCAGGATCTTATCAAAAACATTCTGAAAATTCAAACATACTACATCAACTGGCTGCCTTCTTGAACTGTCACAGCCTACATGGTATAAGTACACTCACAATGTTGTTTGACCCAGTGCCAATGAATGAACGGTGATAAAGTTCCTAGTCAGGATGGTATGTGGCTCAGAGGGGAAGTTGCAGGTGGAATTCCCATGTATTTGCTGTCCTTGTCCTCCTAATACTTCTTTGAGTGCTACCTCTGTTAATACAATTATGAAATACTAACAATGATGGGCTTCCCATTAAATAGAGAAAATGACATTATATTAGTTTTAAAATCATGTTCTTTCCTCATTACATGATGGCCATTTAAAAAAAACACTCAGTTTAACTTTACACTTATACACCTGCATATTTTTGCTACTAATACACCCAAATAGCTGAAAGCAGTTTTGTTGTACACAAATTATTTATAGCACATTGTTTCTAACTTTGTTTTCTTCCCCATCTTTTTGGAAACAGCTTTCAATTAATATAGAAAACATCTATTACTTCACTGGATTGAATTTTCCAGATTCAACTTTGAGTCAGGTGTTTAGCTATTAAGAAAGCCTGTACATGATATCTTGTCCTTCTCACCACATGCGCATGGTGTGCTACCAATCTCCTTTCAAGAACACGTCATCTCATAAACTGGTCTCCCGAAGAAACATAGTCCCAATATTGTATGATTTTTTCCTTGTGCAAGCAGACATGCTTATCATTCTTGATGAATCGAGGGAAACATTGGCCTCCAGAAAATAACATGTCCCATTAATTTCCTCTGGGAAGTTGTCTGGAAGGTCACTTCGGGAGCGTGGTGTGAACTTAAAATTCTCATCTCCTTTTAATAGCCTGTATTTAAAATGAAATAAATGTTAAAAGAGTCGAATTAAGCAACACAAAGATTCTGCATTCACAGCATTTGTCATTCACTAGGCTGCAGGCAATAGAGAGGCATCAAACAACCAACACTTAATACTACTTGCAATTAGAAAGATCACATAGCAAGTTTTCTCTTGGTTGTGATGTGTATTATATTTGTTGGATTTAGCAAGGCTCAATATGGATCTGAGTCCTTCCTAGCCATTACATAGGCATTAGATGGTGTGTTCACTTTTGGTCTCAGATAATTTGGCAGGAACACTAATAAAAATGCATAGACAGGTTAGAAGATTGGGCACAAGCAATTTAACATGTGTAGGTGAGAGGTGGTACAATTTTGGAGAAAAATAAATATCTATAGTATATATTTAATGTAAAAACAATGAAAGTTGTCAATAAAATGAGACACAGGAATCCAAATAATGATTCCCTGAAAGTCTGCCTGTAGACAAATAAAACCATAACAATGGCCAATAATAATTTCGGTTTTAGAAATGGAAGCATACAAAATGAGAGTCATGAAAAGTCTGCACAAAAAATGCTCAAGCCACAGTCAGGAAGTGAATTTTATAGCCCACACCCTACCGGATGTCAATATAAAACAGGTAGCCTATACACTGACCTCCTACTCCTATAGAAGTGCTGGCACTACAAGAGCTGACAACCAACTTTAGTTGACAGCTCTTGAGGGTAGAAATATCTGTTGCTGAGTGATGGAAATGTCAGAAGTCTCACTCCACATTTTTGAAGGCTCCCCCTCCCCCACCAGCATTGGTTAGGCTGTCAAGCAAACGTTTTGACCAAGGGACACAGAATATCACCCCTGTAAAATTCACCTTATGAAAGCTTTTAAGGTTGTCAAGAAGACATTAAAGCTGCCAACAGTGTGCTTGGACAGATGAAAATACTGCAGATACTGGAAAACTGAAATTAAAGCTGATAATGTTGGAAATACTCAGCAGGTCTGGCAGCACCTGTGCAGAGAGAAACAAAAGTAAAATTTCAGGTCAGTGACATTCTATCAGAACTGGGAGAAGTTAGAAATGATCTTAGTCAAATGGGAAACGGTAAAAAAAGGGTAGACCATGCAGATATCCTGATGCAGCTAGCTTGATGGGAATTGCCTGGGAACTTGAAGCTTTCAATGGGTAATTACCCAGCATCTGGAAGACTCTTAAAAACATTCCCCAAGTTACAGTCGAAGACTTTAGGCAGTTTTGATTCAATTACCTGAGTTTTTTTTTGTTTATTCATTCGTGGAATGAACGCTGCATAGGCCAGAATCTTTTCCCATTCCTAATTGCCCTGGAAAATGCAATGGTTAGCTGACTTCCTGAACTGCTGCAGTCCTCACCTTTGGAGGACAGCCTTTTTGGCCATATTTGGACTGAAGGCATAACAAGGTCAGGAGCTGAGTGGCCCTGATGTAACCCAAACTGAGTGTCAGTAAGCAAGTTATTCTTTTTGCCAAATGCTGCTTGATAATGCTTAGCTTGATATTTAATCAAGAAAAGTTAGAGGACTTCAAACCTGCTCTAACTTTAAAACTACACAACAACCTCCACTACCATTCACCACAGAAGCCCTCCCAACGTCCTTCTGATGTCGCACAGAAATCTGGTTCCACTCCCATCTAATCCTAACTCCCCAAAGACCCTCTGGACCCAACAATCCCCAAACACCAACTTCAACAGCTGATATGTAACTCTACCCAGACCCCTCATGCACTTAATTCCAACCCCACTTAGAGTCATAAAGTCATACAGCATGGAAACAGACCCTTTGGTCCAACCAGTCTATGCCCGAACATAATTCCAAAAGAAACTAGGCCCACCTGCCAGCTTCTGGACCGTATCCCTCCAATTCTTTTCTATTCATATATCCATCCAAATGTCCTTTAAACGTTGTAATTGTACCCGCATCCACCACTTCATCAGGAAGTTCATTCCACCTTCAAACCACCTTTTGTGTAAAATAATTGCCTCTTATGTCTTCTTTAAATCTCTCTCCTCTCACCTTAAAAATGTGTCCCCTAGTCTTGGAATTCCCCACCTTAGAGAAAAGACAACTACCATCAACTCTATCTATACCTCTCATTATTTTATAAACACCTATCAGGTCACCTTGCAATCTCCTACTTTCTGGTGATAAAAGTCCCAGCCTATCCAGCCTTTCCTTATAACTCAAACCTTCCACACCAGGCAACATCCTGGTAAATCTCTTCTAAACATTCTCCAGGATAATATCCTTCCTATAACTGGGCAACCAGAACTGGACACGGTATTCCAGAAGAGGTCTCAACAATGTCCTGCACAACCTCAATATGACTTCCCAACTCCTATACTCAAAGGACTGAGCAATGAAGGTAAGTGTGCCAAACACCTTCTTAACCATCCTATCTATATATAATGCAAACTTTAAAGAATTATGTACCTGTACTCCTGGGTCCCTCTGTTCTACAACACTACACAAGGCCCTACCATTAATTGGATAAGCCCTACCCTTGTTTGTTATACCAAAATGCAGTACCTTGCAGTTATCCAGATTGGACTCCTTCTGCCATTTTTCTGCCTATTGACCCATTTGATCAAGATCCCTTTGTAATCTTAGAAAACCTTCCTCACTGTCTTTAAAGCCACCAATTTTGGTGTCATCCGCAAACTTACTAACCATGCCTTCTATATTCTCATCCAAATCATTTATGTAAATGACAAACAAAAGAGGACCCAGAACTGATCCCTGTGGAACACCGCTGGTCACAGGCCTCCAGTCCAAAAAGCAGCCCTCCACCATTACTCTCTGTCTCCTGCCATTAAGCCAATTATGTATCCATTGGCAAGCTCATCCTGAATCCCATGTGACCTAACTTTACTAATTAGTCTACCATGAGGAACCTTGTCAAAGGCTTTACTAAAGCCAAATAAACAATGTCTATGCTCTGCCATCATCAACATTTTTGGTAACTTCCTCAAAAAAATTCAATCAAGTTTTGAGACACGATTTTCCTCACACAAAACTATGCTGACTATCCATAACCAATTCTTGCCTCACTAAATATCCATAAATCCTACCTTTTATAATCAACTCCAACAATTTATGCACAATTGAAGTCAGACTCACAGGTCTATAGTTTCCCGGTTTGTCCTCACAACCTTTCTTAAATACAGGTATAACATTAGCCCCCCTCCAGTGATCAGGCAGTTATAGATGATGTGAATATTTCTGCACGGGTCTCATAATTTCCTCCCTTACTTCCCAAAACATTCTGGGATACATTAGATCAGGTCCCAGAGATTTATCTAGCTTTATATTCACTAAGATCTCCCAAACTTCTTCTGTAATGTGAACTGTTTTTAAAACATCAAAGTTTATTTCTCTGCATTCTTTAGACACCACTTCTTTCTCCATAGTAAAAACTGATGCAAGATATTCATTTATTATCTCTCACATCTCTTGGGGTTCAACATAAAGATGACCTCCTTGATCTTTAAGAGGCCCAACCCTCTCTCTAGCTACCTTCTTGCTCTTAACGTATTTGTTGAATCTCTTTGGATTATCTGCCAATGCTATCTCATATCCCCTCTTTGCCTTCCTGATTTCTGTCTTAAGAATGGCCCTACACTCTTTATATTGATTAAGAGATTCAATTGAACTAAATTGTCTATATGTAAAAAAAATTCTCTTTTATTCCTGACTACCAAGTCTTCCTCATTGACCTCTTCAAACCTGACAACACCCCAACATAACTCCACCCTTTCCAACCTCCCATCCAACATACAACTGCCCATTAACACCGTTACAAAGCGACCTCTACACCTCCACAGCTGAACTGACTGCCTTAGTCTCAACAGCCGCTTGACGCAATACTTCCCAACTACCTTCTGATCTCCCAACACCCAACCAGATCTAATGTAGTCACCACCGAGAACACACACATCCTGATAGTGCCCAATTAATCCACCCATGGTTATGACACCCTAATCTACCCTAAGTCCTCATCCATTTACCTATCACCCTACCCCCTCACCCATTTGGCACCTGTACACTCCACCTACCTGACATCTCTAGCCCTTCAACCACCTGGCATCCTAGCCTTCCACTAACTGACACCTGTACCTTTCAAACAGCCTGTTACACCAGAATCTCACCCATTTACTCAGCACCCTACACAGGAACTTACTCCTCGTACACATGCCGCCCTATCCTCCTCACCATCCTGCACCCTCAACCCACCTGGCACTCATCCCTTCACCCACCCGTCCCACTAACATTCAACCACATGGCATGACATGCCCTCACCTGCCAACCTACTCCACTCACCTGGCACTTTTGTTTACTCTTAGAAAGCATGATGCACATACAGTTGTGCAGATTATGGTCAAATTGTTCATACCTCCAAGTCCCTCTAGATAATATGAGGCTGGTGCAGCTCGTGGAAAAGCTATATATTTGCAAAGCTCCTGCAGGATCTTGTTTTTTTAAATTGCATACCTGATTTCTGTGAATCTGACATGGAATACCAAAATGGACAAACTAATCTTGCATTAACACTCAGGCTATTGCTGAGGCTTTTTGGTCCCAGGTGAGAATAGCCTGCATGAACTTGGTGAAGATGTCTGTGAGTATGAAGTCCTGTTACTACTGGTGTCAAGGATAATAAAATTCATTACAAAGACCTTGAAAGGGCACCTGGGTGACCAGGAATCCCAAGCTTGTGTGAAGTTGCTTCCCTGCTTCAGCAAAGTATACCTCTCACAATTTTCAACAGTAAGATCAACATCAGCAACCACCCTGAACAAATAACACCACTTTCTGGTCACAGCAGTTGTCCTTACTGTCACTTGGATTCATGCTCGATCATGAATTGCTATCAACACTTGACCCTTCAAGCTGTTGGGAAGAATAACTTGCTTTACCTCTCTTTCCTTGTTTTGAACCAGCTGACTGAGGATTCCAGGTTCCTCCTCAAC